CTCTCCCTCTCCCTTTCTCCCTCTCTCTTTCTCTCCCTGTCTCCCTCCCTCTCTCTCCCTCTCTCTCCCTCTCCCTCTCTCCCTCTCTCTCCCTCTCTCTTTCTCTCCATCTCCCTGTCTCCCTCTCTCCCTCTCTCCCTCTCCCTGTCTCCCTCTCTCTCCATCTCTCCTTGTCTCCCTCTCTCCCTCTCTCTCCCTCTCTCTTCCTCTCTCCCTCTCTCTTCCTCTCTCTCTCTCCCTCTCTCTCCCTCTTGCTCTCCCTCTCTCTCCCTCTCTCCCTCTCTTTCTTTCTCTCTCTCATGTTATTAGTACAGGGTCTCACTACATAGATCAGACTCGTAGTGATCCCAAGTGCTGGGATTACCACACCCAGGCTCAATTGTTGTCTCAGCACACCCCAGGGGTGGGGCCGGCACAGCGTGCTGGGGACTGAACCCCGGTTGCTGTGTTCTGCCTAAGCAGGTGCTTTAGTCTGCTGAGCTATCTGACTGGCCTGCCCTCCTTCTCACTCTTGCACTCACTCACTGTCTCTCGCTGTCTCTCGCTATCTCTCTCTCTCGCTCGCTCGCTCGCTCTCCCTCTCGCTCTCGCTCTCGCTCTCTTTTCTGCCAGGGTCTCTCTGTGCAGTCCCTGCTGGCCTTGTGCTCACTTTACAGCCCAGGCTGGGCTCTCAGTGTGGAAGTACCTGATACAAGAGTTTCACCAAGTGCTTGGTTTTGCACCAACCCTCTATGCTGTGTCAGAAGTAGGAGGAAGAGCAAGAAAATGCGACTGGCCCTGAATGCATGCTCTGTGGAAGGCTGAGAAGGAAAGGCTGCTGCTGAATGCTGAAGGCCATAAGGGGGAGTCCCTGGCGAAGGTGTCCTTGAGCACCTTGGGTCTGAGAAGCCAGCTCTCTCAGCCTTATCAGTCCACCAGTTGAATAGCCATGCCCCTAGGAGGCAGGACTTGCCAGTATAGAGACTCAGCAGGCAGGCAGGCCAGCGTCTCCTCCTCCTGCAAACAAGGATGGTGGGACCTCATGCAGTGAGTAGAGGAGGTGAAGGAACCTGTGGGGAGAGGTTCCTGGGCAGCATGGCAGGGTGCAAATGTGCCTTAGGGAGCCCCTCAAGATTCAAATTTTCTTATCAGTTGTATTCTCAAACTGTTTTGGAATCTATACCTTTCTAACATTATAGGCAGAAACCAAATAAATTGTGAAATGAGGATGCTTTGGTTAACATGAGACACATCAGCAGTGAGGCCAGTACTCTGTCTCTGGGCTCTTGCAGGAGCACCGCGGAGCCCTTGCGGAGCTCCAAGGAAGGCGCTCCCATACGGTCAGTCACGGACTTCGCATCCTGTAGTGATGGAGTAGCTTACCTGGGAACAGCCCTCCTGGGGACAACTGTGGGCACTCTGGAGCCAGCATATAACGAGCAGCTATTCAAGAGCTAGACAGGAGCCTGGCAGGGTGGCACATGCCTGTAATCTCAGCCTTCTGGAAGATTCAGGCAGAAAGATTGCATGTGTGGCCCCTGCGTGGGCAACTTAGTAAGCTGGGGAAACCTTGTCTGAAAATAAAAAATAAAGAAGGTCAGGGAATAGAATTCGTAATTTGGTGTGAAGACCCTAGGTTTAATCCCCAGTACCAGAATTCATTCATATTCTCTCTCTCTCTCTCTCTCTCTCTCTCTCTCTCTCTCTCTCTCACACACACACATACACACACACACACACTTTCACTCACTCACACACTCACTCACTATTACAGAGCAGCCAGAAAACAGAGATGCACATGAAAGGGAGAATAGAATGACACTAGGTGAATGTCCCATGTTGACAACTTGTTGACTGCATGAGGTCCCTTGTGGATCTGAGAGGTGGATAAACTCTGACAGATACCTGTTGTCTTAGTTAGTTTTTTCTTTTATTGCTGAAACAAAATACCAGACACCCAAAGTTACAGGGCAAAGGTTTATTTGGCTCATAGTTTGTGGAGGTTTCGGTCCATACTCAGCTGGCTCCAAGGCAGAGTGGCACGTGGTAGAGGGCAGCAGTTCATGGCAGTGGAAAACAGCAAAAGCAACAAGAGGGGGAGAAAAGGGACAAGGCTCTTCCTGTCTTTCTCTGCATGCAGTCCGCCAGTAGTAGGGTGATGCCACTGTACTCAGCAGGCTGATCCAGCACTCGCCTACCCTTCATCCCAGCCCTGCTCTGTGACTCAATCACCCGCTCTGGATTCAGCCTGCTCTGAAAAATCCCAGTGACTGCATGAGGCTTTGAGGCGACATCTAGACACAAACCATAACTCCTACCTCTTACTAGTAGAGCTGTCAGAGGAGAATGTCCAGGAAACACACAGCAGCGGGAAATTGGGGAGGAGAAACACCACAGAAAAGAGGGACAGAGAGAGCCCCAAATTCTGCATATACTATCTTTGGTCTAGTTTCTAAGAACGAGGTAAGGACGCAGCAGATCCACACAACACATTGAGGTAAAAAGACTGAACTGAGCTCAGTGCTGCTGCCCAGCACGAGCACCAGGGGAGTTTTCTAAGGGCCAAGTTTTCTGTCTGCTA